CCCAGCGGGCACGGCGCTCATTCGAGAATGCTGAAGATATCCAACTAAAATGAGAACTTGCTGGTGCCACGTGGGGAATGCTTTGGGAATGAACCTGGGGGTTCTCTTAAAGGAAACCAGGGATGGTTTACAGGCAGTTTACCCGGGTTAGGGTTTGTCCCTCATTCATTGCCGAGAACCGCCAAGATAAGTGGAAAGGCTGCGCAAGTCTGGCATTGAGTCCTATGAGGTTCCGCAACCAAGCTAAGGTCCTGCTTTGAGGAAGTCCAGGCACACTGCCATCAGTTCTGCTGGGACAATGGATGCAGAGCTGCAGCTCGGGAAATGGGGGAGATCAAGAAGTCACATTGCAGATTCTCCCAATCAAATGGGCGCTAGTCAAGGTCCTTGTAAGAGGCTTGGTATTCGGTGACAAGTCTGCGCGCAGCCGAGCCGTGGCACCTGGACGTGTTCTCCCATGCATTTTGTGTATTTCTCGCTCCTGCCATGGCACCTGGCTGCGTACGATGGTGCTGACTTTGGTAGCTAAAAGTGTACGGCGGTGAATCTGCGCCGCGAAGAGTGGCGGTTTCGGGACACGGAGTTTTGATCAGATTTTGTTTGACCCCGGCTTCCCTCATGCCTCATGCTGCCTTGACAAGAGGTGCAATGCGTCAATGTGTTCAATGACCCTGAAAGCCGGAAAGTAAAGAAGGAACTCGGCAACACTTGGTGCAGGCCAAGAGGTTTGCCCAGCAGATGCTGTCCGCGCTTGCCTATTGTGAGGACTGCATGGCGAGTTTCATGGTCACTGATTCCGTGAACGCGTGAAGCAGACTTTGTGCAACGGCAAACTCAGAGATATCACTGGTGGCGTGTGCGCTGATAGGAGCATAGAATCGCTGCGACCTGAGCCGCTGAGAACTCGCATGGCTCAACCCCAGAAACCTAGCTGAAAGGTCGAACAAGAGCTTGCTGCAATGACCTTGCGGTGCCTGTTACGTACTCTGTTTGAATCCGATGCTGAGAAGCGGCAAACCACCCCTGTGTGACATAGCTGAGGTCCACACCGGCATGAAGCCGCAGAACATCTTGATCACACTGGCAGAGGCGGGGTCCCAGAATTCCCGGTTCCCTTCGCCCCGCTCCGTGGAGATAGGTCAGCTTGGCGCCAGAACCGCGAGGTTTTCGGCATGGTAGGAATCGTGAGCACCCGGCTGGGGCCTTCCCGATTTCCTGTCCCCAGCCCTGAGGCCCTGCCCTTTGCCTGATCTGCCGCCAGGGCCGCTTGCTGGCGCAGCTCACGGACTTTGGACACGCTCAGATCATTCCCAAGGACCAGACGTTTCTCCAGCTCCGGCCTCGGTCGTGCCGCGAGCTACGTGTAACGGTTTGCGGGAGGAGTCTGGGAGAATGGTTGCCAAATCATGGCGACTCAAGAAATCCGCTCCTGCAAGCCCTTTGCATCATGCATAGCCTCCTTGATCCAAATCTCCCTTCAAGGGAACTTGCTCACTGAAACTCGCAAATCCGCATTGCAGCTCACGTTGCGTGTAGCTTACACCTGTCACATGTGAGATATTGATAAAGATTGGTGTCAGCTTAGCATCACTTGTTCATGTTGTGCATTCAGCATGAGTTCTTGGGCATGTTGTTCATTCCGAACGCATGTGTTTTGCTTTGAACTGTTGGGTATGTGATGTGGTGTGGGGCCAACGCACCTCATGGCGCCAGGTCTGAATGTACCTAGATCTGTCCAGCAATCCGCGATCCCGGGTTTCAGCTTGTGAAATACTGAGGCTGGAAGACGAGATTGAGGGCTCTTATGGCTACATTCCACCGGAGGCATTGGGGTTGGTTGTTTGACTGTCATGCAATCTCTTTTACCGTTGCCTGGAATGTGGTACAATTACAATGTCAAGCATGCGCTTGGCAAGGTCAAGCACAAGAAGCAGCTTGGTTTTGCGGCTGATTTGCTTCCAGCTTAGCGAAACATTGGCTAGATGCACTTGTCTCAGAATGACAACAAGTTCATCCCCTTCCCGGATGGTGTTGTTCTGGCAGAGCATAATAGCTGGATGTTCATCCTAGCCCTCTCATTCGATGCCATGCTGAGGTTCGCTTTGGGTGTCAACCTGTTTCGTCTACTGTCCAGCCTCTCGGCAACAAAGAATGCTGCCAGAGCCCATGAAGCCATGCAACGCATTGCTTGTACGTGAGGGAAGGCATTAGGATAATTTCCACCTATGAATACAGAGGCCCTCCAAACTGTTTTCCGCGTTTTCTGGCGCAAAGTTCCGAATTAACACTTGTTGTTTGGGTTGTAGTCTTGCTTGTAGTGCTTGTATTACTGCTTGTGGTACATGCAGTACTGGTCGTAGTACTGCTTGTAGTACTGCAAGTAGTACTTGAAGTATTTTTCTTGGAAGGGGGGTGCGCTGGGCAGTTTCTTAATGTGAACTCTTTTGCTAGTGTGGGATTGGGAGCTGTTTGTGGGGTACGTCATGTTGGACTGTTGGGGCATCACTTTTCGGAAGGGACCAGAATGCAAAATCACCAGTTACAAGTTTCGATGATCCCATTTGAATACTGCAGCGGCTGCAGTGGCCGCAGTGTCCACTGGCACATGTCTGCAGTCGGCTGTTGGAAGTTCCTGAATTATTCGTTGCTTCCTGAAATGTTTGCTTCCTGATTGTGTTTTTTCTGATTTTTTTGTTTCCTCAAATATTGGCCTGGGGCAGTTGAGGAGTTTTATGGATGTGAGTGTTTGGGTTGTTTATTAATTTGGCCCCTGCTCAATTTAGTATTGCGTGCAAAAAGGGTCTGGCTGGCCCAGAATTTTATTATTTCGGACCCATCTATAAAGCCAAAGTCGTTAGGTGACTGGGTGGATTTGCGTGCTTGCGTGTGAATTTGAATGTGTGTCAGTGAATGCTGTTGCTTCGGTGTGTGTGGGTGTGTATGTTCATGTTTGTGTGAGTGTGTGTGTGTGTGTCGCTAGCTAGGCATTTGAGCAGCATGTGCGTATACTTGTGAATGTGTGTATGTGTGAAATTGTGAGTGTGACTCTGTGCGCGAGAGAGTATGTCCAAGCTCAGTGTGTTAATGTGCAAGCGCCTGCCGATATGTGTGAGCATGTGTATTTGCTTGTAGTATGCTATTTGGCTTTTGTGTGTGTGTACGGTTTAATATTGTGGTCGCCATTGTCAACATCATGCTTCATGTTTTTTGCTGTTGCGAGCAGCGTGGGTTTCTTTGCATTGCGCGCAGCTGTGCTCGCCATTTGCTCGCGAGGCTATGATCCGTTTTACCCAGCCCGGCTCCCAATGCTGCAAGTTGGCGCTGGCAGTTGGCAGCCATCGGCTGAGGCCTCTGCTGTCGACTCCGAGCTGCTGTTCGACAGTGTGTGCTGGGATCCGCTCTCCAAAATGTCCCAGGACCCTCTGCGCGACAACCATGTTATCAAAAACCAAAGCAAAACCTGCTGTTGGCAGTATTTTGCGGGCTTGGTTTTCGTAAAGCATTGCAAGAGCCGAACCTGTCATGAAGAGCCAAGACACGAGACCTCAGTAGAGCTTGGCATCGGATTCCTTGAGGATTTGGTGACTCAGCTGCTGGCTCCGGATCCAAGTACCCGTGGCTCCGCCGAAGTCTTGAAAGGCGCGGCGACGGAATGTGGCCATCCCTGGTTCGGAATGCAGAAAGTGAGGCCATCCCTGGTTCACGGTTGGTGAAGCATCGTTGGCCTCGCACTCACGGGGCAAAGCGGCAAAGCGCCTTCAGCAAGAGAGAGAGAGAGGGAGCACAAAAAGAAGCAAAAGCAAGTCAGCAAGTGCATAACATGCTGCCAAGTTTTTTGGCAATGCAGTGCTCACTCTGCCGCTGTGATTCCGAGTGGCATGCCGCTCGCTTTTTTCCTAACAACTCTTTGCTTCAGTTGCTCTTCCTCCGTGGCACCCGAGGTCGGGAAGCCTCGGGCTGCCTTTGCTCCGTTGCCTCGGGAGCAGCTCGGCTGCATTCGCGCAGTCCGTTGCGTGGGGAAGCCTGGGCATCGCTGCCTTGTGAATGGCTTGGATGCGTCCATCTGTGAGTTGCATCGACATCGCTTTTGCTGCCAGCCAGGAATGTGGACTTCCATACCCTGGAAGATGCAGCCAGAGTGTGGAGCTCCCTTCAGCCCATGTAAAGGAGCCTTTGTTTGCCTTCTGATAGAAGGGAAGAGTATTCGAGTACAGGGTTTTGTGTCGTTTGCAGTACCTAGAGACTTGAGACTTGCAGTACAGCACGGCCCTTTGTGGTCGCTTTTCAATGCTGCTTTTGGTGTCGTGTGCTTCCCTGTACCACTCTGTGAAGCACATGCATTGCGCGAGTATCAAATTCTACTGGTGTTGAAGACATTTCTTTGCAGAATTTCTTCAGCTGAGATGCTTGCGCATTTTCAACGCACAACATATCGCCGGCTTAACTTTTTAAGAGCTGCCGATTGAATCGTTGAGCGGCGCTGCAAATATCTCAATTATTTACCTGTCCAGCTCAGCTCCCCCTTGGTGGAGTTAGGCTTTCTTTTCCGGCCACGAGCGGGGGATACAGTGCAGGTACAGTTGCTGGATGCTAGTGATTCGGTGCAGCAGTACCTTGATGTGCGCTGTCCATCTTCTGAATGGAGCACGTAATTCTGACGGCCATGGGGCCCCTTTTGTCTCCTGTTGTCGTATTATTATGTCACCACAACGAAACCTGCCCGGCTCAGGACAGCGCGTATATGCATGGCTTTTCAGCTTGCATGTGACCGTCCTCGGTATGACTCCGCTTCCCCATTTGCCAGCTGTGAATGCGCTCAGGGCCCATTGAGGCTCTGCCCATTCACACCTCGCTCGGTGATGAGCTTGCAAATTGCAAGAGAGAAAAGGATCAAGCCTTGCTGGAAGACCACAACCCCGTGCAGGGACTGTTCCGCATGATAACTTGCCGTGCTGGTGTTTGTTTGGAGTTATTGTTATCTGATGCCTCAGCATGAGCAGGTGGGCAGCTTTGTGTCCAGCTTCGACTTGCCACCATCTTCCTTCTCGCCGCGGTCCAATACAATGTGGCTGTGGGTCAAAACCAATGGCACCATTTTGGGGTAGGTGCACCACCCAATTTTAGGCTATTTTAGTGGGGATTGGGATGTTCACTGGGGGTACGGGGTTTTGACCCCTGGCCATATGATTCGTAGGAATCTTGTTTGACCAGCATCCAGGTCTGATGCGCCTGATCCAGTAGCCGTAGAAAACGACTCACCGGAGGAGCGACCGAGATGCCCCGGACAGCTCCAGGGAGTTCGGAACACAGCCCGGGGTCACAGCGATTGAATAGCAACTGACCAGTCTGACCAGTGTGTTTCTTTTTTTGAACCATATTGATATCCTTCTTTGCGCGTGCTCTCGCTTCGTGCAGGACTTGGAAAAGACAGATCCTCAGCCTCAGAGAAGCTTCGGATTGGGGAATGCATTCAGAGTACCAGGACGGCATGGCTATTAGCAGTAGTAGTACCAGTAAAGCCGGCGCTTCGCCGGTGGGCGGAAGTTTCAAACATATGCGAACTACAGATACTCGTATTTGTCTCTTTCTTTTCTTGCTGTTTTTGCTCTTCTTGCGGTTTGTCATCGATGTTTGTTCCTTCTTTGCGCGCGCATCTACTTATTATTTCTATCCGGGTTGTGCTGGTATCGTTTTTTTTTTGGGTTTTGTCCCGGCGACTCTTGCTTTGTCAAAGGACGTTCGGAAGAAATGTCCGTAGAACGTAAGCTAATTATTGAAAGATAGCTTGCGCAGGTAGATACAGAAGATCAGATAGCGCACGCCAAAAGACGCACACTTTTCGCGCGTGAACTACGAATGGGACTAGTGAGAGTAGCATTTGTAGTCGTAGTAGCATCATGAGTATCAGAGGTAGTATTACCAGCGACCATAGTTGGGCTACAGCAGTGGCAGTAGCAGGCCAAAGCATTAGAAGTGGCAGTGGCTGCTGCAGCACCAGTGCCACAATTGTCAGCAGTAGTCGTGGCGGCAGTGGCGGCAGTGAGAGCAGCAGCAGCAGCAGCAGCCGCAGCAGCAGCAGCAGCAGCAGCAGCAGCAGCAGCAGCGGCGCATGGGTTGGTGGCAACGCTCTACTTCGCAAAGGTGCCATAGCTGTTGTTCTCGTTCCCCCCTGCTGCCTGTTGCTGGTCGCCGACTGTGTCTTGCTACCTCGCTGCTACGTTTCCTTTGCAATTGCTCGGCTGCCACTTGGCCGATTGCTACTGCCACTGATACTGCACGGCTGCTGGCAGTCGAGAAGCGGGCATGCGCCCGTCAATGAACTCGAGGCTCCGTGCGAGAGTGCTGCGCAAGATGTGCGTTGCCCAAGCCAGCACCTGAGTCTTTGGCTGCGATTTCATGGAGCGGATCCAGCCGGTGCCGCAAGTCGCCCTGAGGTGCCAGAGTCCATTTGCTGCTGCGCAGCTCAACTGCACGTCTCGGATTTGCCATTCCCAACGCTCAGCGGCTTCGCTGAGGTTCTGGCTTTGATCTTTTTGCGCCACACCCAGACGAGAAGCCTTCCACCAAATTTTCCCGCTGTAGTCTCAGGATACAAAACCTCCGATCGATCCACTTCATTGCCGCATCCGAAGCTGCAGTCCAGGCCTGCAAACCAGCCTTTCTGCCATGTTTCTACAGCGATCCCCATGGAATTGCGTGAATGCCCTGTCTCATCAGCACACAACTTGTCACACATGAAGAGGTAGCCCATCCATGAAGTCAATCCAACCAGCGTTGCTGTCAGTTCTGTGCAGTTTGCACCAGCTGCTCATGGAACCCAACCATCAACGCCTGAAGAGTTCGCCCATCAACCTCACCATTTTTGCAGCGCTCATGGAAAACAAAAGGTGCCGCATGGAACCCACGCGCAGGTGCGCTTTGTGGTCATGTGCGCCAGCGGAGCGACGGCCACGGCGAGCTCCTGAGAGAATCTTGGGGAGCCGTGGCCTTGATGTGGGGTACCCGGACAAACATAGCCATGGGGCAGAAGCTATGGCTCCACTTGGGGTGGATGAACATCCATTTGGCACAAAAATCATGATTCGAATCATGATGTTCACCAGGGTACAGGGTTTTGACCCACAGACACATGGCTCAGGGGTAAATGAGCCAAGTACGCCTCTCCCCAAGAAGCAAGATGTAGCCCTTATAAAGTGGGTTGGACACCAGGGAAGCCAAGGGCATGAACAAGGGGTATGTACTTCCACCCTTAGATTTGGGGAGTCGTCCGAAGGGTCCTATTCAGGTAAGCAGAAGGAAGCTTTTTTTGTTTTAGTGCCCTCCGCGAAAGCTTGGCGATGGAGGTCGCGATGGTTGTCCTCACCCACAGACTAAATTTGGTCGGAGGAAAGCGCGGCCTGAGGATTGCCGCAAAACGATATGTCGCTGCAAAGGCAACCCCCAGCAGAAAGCAGCTTGTGGGAGTTTTGAAGCTTTCGTGTCCAGTTGAGCGCAACTTGGATCTTCAGTTTGGCTAAAAAAAGCGAAAGTTTCGCAAAAGTGGATGGACCCCCCGCCAAACCTCCGGACATTGGGTGTGCGAGGGGTCCCCTCCTGTCACGGCTTTCGAGCTGCGGATTTGCTTCACTTTCGTCGACCTCCATTTTGGAGCTTTTGCATTGCTACTTCTTTGCAATATTAGTCAAACGTGGCACGCGAAATAAACAACTTCGCAGTCCCGGCTCGAAAGTCGCAAGTTTTCAGTGCGAAGGTAGTACGCCAAGGAACCAGGAATTTCAGACAACCGAAATTTGTTTGCAGGAATTGATATGAAACTTGTATTGTTTTGGCGCTCAGGCTTTGGCCGCCTCTGGCGGCTGTTGCGGCTTGTGATGTTTGTGGTTTTGCGTTTGGCTTGGCAGTCGTCTTCCCATCCCTCGAGCCTCCTTACACCCACACGAATCCGAACCTAGCCCCAAACTGACAAGCCCCAACTGCCCTGACCCTAAAGCAGTCCTGAACACAACCTCGATCAATCGTGCGTGCGTGTGTGTCTTTGAGGGTACCCTTTCTGGGCGCGTCCGACCAAACGTAATTCAATCCGTAGCCCTAAACCAAGGCGTAAGCCGACCCGCAATCCAATCTCAGAGAAGCTTAGAATCAAGCCCGCTGCAACCCGAAACCCAAGATAAAGCCCAGCCTAAAATCAACCCTAAACCAAGCCAATATCCTCCAAACCCACCAGAATTGTTATGACATAAAAATAAAAATAAAAATGGCCTTGAACCCACACTTCCCCTAATTACCCTTCCCGCCCACGCAAACCCAACACAAACCAAGCCTCAATCAACTCAAAACCAGGCCCGAATTTAACCCAAACATCCAACCCCATCTTGGACCCAGCACAACGCTCTCTACACCCAGAAGCATCCCTAAAACCCTATACACACCCTACACACCCCAAACTCACCCCAAACTCACCCCAAACAAACCCACCACCCACCCCAAACTCACCCTCAACCTCCCAAGTAAAGGGGAAAGGCAAAAAGCACAAATTCCCATTTGGTTCCTGATGTTCCGCGAGTTTCCACTCGCTGGGTGGCATAGGGACGTGTGGGTTCTAATGGTTTCTGTCGTTGGTGAGTTCGTCTCAAAATAGGGGAAACCACAAATTTGCATGTCATGCTTCCCTTGCGGCGTTCCTCTAAAACCACCCAAAAACGGTATCTTCAAAACAAACAAACAAACAAACACACACACACAAAAAGAAAAACACACACACAAAAAAAAACACACACAAAAAGAAAAGACACACCAAAAAACACACACAGACACACACAAAAAACAGACACAAGGTATTCATACTGAACTGGATTGATTCCACACACAGATCCTGGTGGCCTGGGGCTTTGCCGATATCATCATCTCCATGTGGGTCAAGACGGACTTTGTCCAGGACTGGTGTGGGTTGGCTCGTCCTTGTTTGAGCGAGAAGGAAAAACATATATATACATATATATATATATATTTATTTATGTTGATATCTTTTTGGGGGGTTCCTCCAAGAGAAGACACCCATCCGAAACAACAAAAGAGAGCACAGCCAATTGGAGGAGCCAGCCCGCCCCAATCGGGATTTGCCTTAAGACAAATAGGCAAATCATGGATACGTCGGATATGTCTTGCAAGGAGAACGCTCGACTTGTTGTATTTTTCTACTTGGTGGAGATATGCAGCTGGCTCCAGCCTCAGGACGTAGCTGAGAACAGGCGGAGGGCTTGAAGTTGGTAGTCTGACGCCTCGGCGGATGCGGAGCTCAAAACGCCAAAGCTGGCGTTGTCCAAGTTCAAAGCCTCGAGAGGCAGAGCTTGGCGGAAATCAGACTCTTCCGATGGGCACTTTCATCTCTCAACCAGACTTAAACTCAGGGGGTAATGAGCCACTGGGTTTAAGTCTACTGGGGCAGTCCAAAAGTGGAACCGCGCCATAGAGTTGCGGCAAGGCGTAGCAGTTTTGGCCTTTGTCAAGAGAAATCTAGATGCAGATGGGGTTTGAAATCTCATGTGAAAGTCAAATATTGTTGGTGGTTTCCCTACTGGTCATGCTATGTAGCGGACCTTTTGATCAACCCACATATATGTTCAAGAGAAACATGAAGAGTTTGCAATTCCTTTGTCCAACACGATGCTCTTCTGCTTCTTTGCTTCATTTAGCATCTTGGGATTCCATAGTTGCTGCAATCGCACCCAGCCTCACTTCCTGCCAGCAGCCGCTATCCTGCCTTCTGCCGTCGGTTCGCGACTACACGCCTTTTTTTTTACATAAGGATTGTCATGTTGCGAGTGTTTGCTGCGCAACGTATGGCCCTGCACGTATGGCCCTGGATACATGGCCCTGGCCAAGCTGCCGCGGGAGGATGAACGGCCCAGTCCAGGGAGCAGTGCTGAGTTGATCAGCTTCACCCCTTGCAGTTTGCTGAGGTGGCCCTTTCTTTCGCAGATCGCAATTGAGGCAGACGTGCTCTTGATGGCCCGCTCCTTGGCCGCCAGACTCACAGCAATTCGTAGTGTGGCTTCCCAGGTCAGGTATCTCTCCACTGAGCTGATTGTTATGACGTTTCTGGTGGTGCTTCGTCCTTAATGCCATCCGAAGGTGAGAAAGCATCCAAAGATGGAACTCGCAGAGAAGTGGCTGAATTTGTGAGTGCGATTAGCGAGGTGCGGCTTCTACGCAATTCCAGGAAGCAGCAAGTGGGCGCCTCAAGCCGAGCGAAATGGTTGCACTGCTGACCTAAAAAAAATCCGGATCACCCGCCCCCAGAGCCCCCCCCCCAAAAAAAAGGAGACGGGCCGAGGGTATCAAGAGCGATCCAGGTTCCGTGGCTCGATACTGAACATCGTGCTGCACTTCTTCGGGCAGGCTGGAAGTGTGCAAGGCCGCTTCCCATGGGCTCGTGCGAGCCGAGCTGGTTTCAGCGGCCAGGACAAGACAGCAATTGACCAAACTCCGAAGTGAGGTTGACCCGTCCAGGTCGCCTTGGCAGCGACCATGAGCCCATTTCTGGCCAGGGGCCAAGTCATGGGGTTCAATGCAAGCCAACGGTTCCGCTGGTGCGACGCGTTGTTGGCTACTGTTTGCCAATAGAGACACCAAGAGAATGAGACACCCAGAGCTGGTCCTAACGCGGGTTGGCGGGGTCAGGGTGGGGAGTCAGGGCAGAATGGGCTGAGACAGTGAAAAGAAACCTTTGCTTTGTGCAAATCATGCTACTTCACATACGTGCTATCGTGTGTGAAATGGTTGATCGGAGATCACATGGACGCGCGGCATGAGTGTCGCAGTAATTACCCGTGGCAGAGTTGGTTGAATCCCGAATGTGAACCTTGCTGTCGTTCGAAGCGCGCATACTGTGTCTACTGAGTCTGCCAGTGTATAGGATGACTGCCGCAAATAAGCGCAAGCAGAGAGGGTATTCAAAAAGAAGGTAAGAAGGCATCGAAGGCATAATGCGAACTGTTTTTCCAGAGCTAGGCTCTTGATGCAAGCTCACAGAGTCCGCAATTTTAATTTATCTGGCATGCCGAGCAAACATGATCTGCTCGTGCCTTGTGACACCCGCGCACGCTATGCACAAATTGTGCATAGCTGAGGTTGGCAGAAAGCTGTAGGGACTGTCCCAGGAAGCTGGCACCCGAGTGTTGTGACAAATGGATAGAGCCACACATTTTGGCAGATGCTTTTTGCATGTCGCGCACGCACGCTCGCTCGCTCACACACACACGCAGAAGGTGTGAAGGATGACCCCCTACCCGGCGTCCAGCATCTAGCATGCGCACACTCGTCAGCACCCCCACTTGCCTCAAACGAAACAGAAGCCATGATGCTCCTAGTAGAATGCTGGGCAAGTCGGTTCACATTGTTTGCTGAATGTTGCTGTGGCACTAGATTTGATGAACAGCGTCAGCAGACGTCAATGGGAGTGGTGGACTTGGCTTGGAAGTATTGCACATTGTGGTCGTTGAAGTGTCTCTGTTATTAGGGCAAGAGAAGGGGAGAGAGCAGAACGACAAGACAAACTTTCAGCAGAACGAGACAAACTTTGGCCAAAGGCTGGGGCCAATCTGCTGTTCTTCGACAATTCCCTGACCTTTCGCTATTTGAACAGATGGCGCCTTTGCAGCCGCTCGTGCCGCTCGGTGTCCACTGGAGGATTCGAGTGCTTGAAGGTACTATCCAGTGCGGTACCTTCATGTCGCGTGGCTTGACTGAAACTAGGCCCCCAGGATCGTTCCCTTTTACCAACTTTTTTGGAAGAGGGTTTCCCTACTAAAATAGACCACAGAAAAAAGTTGGTACCCTTATTCTATCCTCCCTACTGGACCCAGGAAAGGAAGTCGAAAAGGGAGATTGGAGCTGCGCCACCGGTCAGAAGGCGAGCCGAGATCGGACTGAGGCTGTATGTCGAAAGACTGCCTTACTCAGTGCCCAGCTTAGCTGGACGGCAGAGACCACTTGGCTGGCGTTGGCTTGTGGCAGATTCACCAACTCTTCTTGGACCCCGTGAATGACATTGCCGTGGTCTTCCTGAGCATCCAGATCATCCTTGTTGGGTGCCCAATATCCCATTGGCACAGATTCCGTTGCCACAGACCAGCCAATGCTCGCAGCGGCTCATTGTCCACCAATTTCCGGAACGCATGAATGATATTTAAAGGGAAAGCGAAAGGATGCAAATACGATTCCCCCCCCCCCATATTCTGCCGAGAGTGCCACTTTTTGACTACCCCACGATAGACTTGCACCCGCGGATTCTCCTTTAAATCAGCCCTGGGTTGAAGTTGACCCTGGAGCAGTCCAAAAGTGGAACCCTTCCAGTCAACGTTGAGTCAAAATGAAACCACCAGAAAACGTTGCCGGTCTTCGTCCTTACCATTTGCCCTTGCATTTCGGGGAAATGGCCACGATTTTTGACCCCTCCGCGTTTCAAACCTTTCTTTTCCCGGTCGAGGTCTATTTGGTGGTGCCCAAGTTGCGGACCGCCAGCCAGCGCGACAAGGCGGAGGAGTTCCAGCAGAAGACGGGTGGAGCCCTGGAGGCTGGAGCTTCGCTTGGCCCCTGTCGCCCCCTGGGCTCTTTGGGGAGACCCGGATTTGGTCCGCGAAATCGGGGGAACACGGCAAACTTGAAGCTGACTTTTGTGTAAAAAGCAGGAAACCAACATCAAGTTTGGCTGACTTGTGCGTAAAAACCACGGGAACACAGCAAACTTGAAGCTGACTTTTGTGTAACAAAGGGCGGAATACAGCAAATTCGGCTGAGTTCCCTTGTGGCTTTCCTGAAAAAAACCCAACCAACAAGGTTCCGGAACCCCCCCCCAAAAAAGAAGCGCGCGCTGATACATGTCGCGAGGTTTCTGTGGAGTCTTGAGCAATAATTGGTTTGGGATTGGCTATGTTCGAGCATGATGAAGGATCCATGACCACCAACCCCCCATACTGAGTGCCTTGTCCTTGGCACTGTTGCAGCCTCGGTCCATGTTTGTGTGTGTGTGTGTGAACGCTGTCCCAGGCAGGGCGCCTCGCAAAGTCTTTCTGTCATTTTGGGGATGCCTGATATGTTCAAAATATTCGATGTGATGACTTTCATTTTGTGATGGTATGCTGACTTTGCAAGGTGAGTGTGACCAACGTCAAGGGAATGCATGGCGACCAGCAGCTTGCTTGCAATCAGACATGAAATCCCTGTCAACTATGCTTGAAACCTTGCATGTATTTTTTTGAGGGACATCCTAGAAAACCTCTTTGTATAGGACACGCCCGAAACGAAGTCTTGCTACGGGACCGGCATTCACCGAGGTCCCGCCCTCGAGCCACCACCGGGTTGAGGCGCGAGATTCCACAAGCGCAGTCTTGACTTATGTCCTGAGCAATGAGCACTGCACTCCCCCACAAACAAAACATAGACCTTAGAGAGCTGTAGAGATTTCGAGATGTCGCCATCGTCCAGAAGCTGCACTCGCAAGAACGAAGCACCTGCAACAGCGCCCTTTGCCATGCCTCCGCAAACCCTGCTTGCACTTGGCAGTCTTCTAAATCGCTCCGCCAGAAGCAAGAATCCCCATAGCTTTCAGCCTTATGGGGAATATGCAGGGATGGCGCCGCTGGCTCGGGACCTATCTCGACTCCCTTTCCACATCCCCGACAGGGAATCATAGTTTTTCCCATGATTTCCTCAACCTTCTCAAACCCCCTGCAAGATCCCTTAACCTCAAGATCACATCTGCAAAATCTAAACCCTGGGGAGTGAACAGGGATGTGAGTCAGTTTCGGCCAATGGGCTGTCGCAGGTCCAGAATCTTCCACGACGCACCGCGGGCAGCGGAAGGCGAGGACAGCTTCGTGGAGGTGCTGAACGCGGTGGGCGACACCTTCGAGGCGTGGAAGATGTTTGCCGGTCTAAGTGGCCATGTGGGTGTGGGTCAAAATCAAACCAACAGGGGACCGCAGATTTTGGACCATGTTTCCACTTACAGGGTTCCATATTGGGTACCTATTTTTGACCCACAGCCATGTGGCATAACCTATGGCGATCCCATTTTGGGGTGGATGAACATCCATTTTCCACCTACTTTGATGTTCACCAGGGGTTTCCAAGTTTCGGGGTGAGAGATGCATGGACGAGATTTTAAGGTCGAGGCCTCTGGCTTGAGTACAATTACCGGTGGGGTTTGCGGCAAAATGCAGAGTGCCAAGCATCCACGAAAAGGAAGATCCAAAGTTGCACCTGCAGAGATCACCAGCATCCAGAATAGATCAACAACCCTGCACCAAGACCTTGCGCCAGCACCCCAACCAGATCAACACCCGTACTGCACCCCAAACAGCCACATATCGTGCCTTCTTCATGACACGTGAGAACCTTTGTAATGCTCAGCTATGTGAGCACAAAGTCTTTGTTCTGACCTGATGTTTGCGGGGAACAAACCTGTGCCTTTGTCCTAACAGGGCCAAATGCGGCGAAAAAGCTTCTCCAGAGCTTCCCTGAGGCATTATTGCTTGCTAGTCAAGCTGACAGCCCGCGCAGATCTCGGTCTTCCATCACAGTCCTGCTTGGAGATGCCACGGCTTGCTGTGAGATCCTATTGATGCTTAACGGTTGCAATTGGTTCTACCTAAGAAACTTTGGCGCTCAGCTGCCGTTGTCCTCTGAGCTCGTGCCAAATTTAAGTTGCTGTGCCAAGGCGGGTGCGATGTGCAGTCCTTGGTGTTGCCATACAGCCGCTTTCCGAGGCCCAGCTGCACAGTTCAGGCTGTAGGCAGTGGAGCATTCCTCAGGCAGGCACAGCCAAGCTGCTGCTGCTGCTGCCCCTGATTCTGCCGCAGCTCTTGTTGGCCTGAGCCCAAGATTGATGCAGCAAGTTCTTTGCAGCGGAAAGTAGCATGACACCATGTGCACTCGGATGCCGGCCGAATTGCATGCAACTTTGCTTTAGGTATGGTTCTGTAGTGAAAGCTGTTAGCATCCCGTCCACAATGGTGCCCTCGTTAAGCATGGATGGCGCTGGATCCGAGACTGGCATGACGAGTGGCACCGTAACGGCTGCTATTGGCGGCATCGGAGACATCGAGGGCGAAGATAAGCGCGGCGGCCTGTGCGGCTTTGATCGCCGATGGCGAGATCCGAGAAATGGCCTGTACGAGGGGTTGCTCCCAGATTGCGGGTATCATGGGTCACGTTTCGGATCAAAACAACAGCCTGAACATGGACCCCTTCAACCTGAGGGCAGAGGAGCTGGCACTACAGGACTGTACACTTGGAGTGGAGGTGCGCCGAACCTGGTCGGAGACGGAGCTCGTCCGCACCTTCGGAGGCCGCATGCCTCCGGGCACCCCTGATGGCATGTTCGAGAGTTGGAATGGGAATCTCACCTGTGTACAGGTCGTCCGAGTGCCGCTGGTGAGCGGAAGTGACAATGCTTCTATGCAACACACACTAGCCCAGACCATCCTTAGCAAGGTCGTCAAGTCGCAGGCTTGGCTGCGCTTCACGGCAACGGCTCCACACGACTTCATCATTTTTTGCTGGCTGCCTTTTCAAGTGCCAGATGCAGTTCAGCATCATGTGGAAATGCTGATGGAACGGGTCCGTTTGCTCGACCGCCGTTTCTCCGCAAGGCTCCGTTTGCCAGCGGAGCCTCACGCTATTTTCCCTGCACTGTTTGCATGCAACCATGACTTTGTCATGAGCAAGTCTCGTGGTCTCTCCGAGAGCGACATCTCTACCTTTGAATCTGATGGTGAGGAGGAGGAGGAAGAGGAGACGTGCGAATGGGATATCACTTGGGACTGGACGGGCGAAGACAGTGCAGAGGATGCAGCAGAGCAACCCCAGGAAGCCACTTGCGAGGATGAGAGTCACATGTGTCGCATGTTGCAAAGC